TGTGAGAAACATCGATCGGTTGCCTCTTGCACACACCCAGACCATGGAACTGAACCTGCAACCTAGGTGTGAGTCCTGACTGGGAATCCAACTGGCAACCCCTTGCTTTGCAGGACTACACCCAACCAACTGAGCCACACCAGTTGGGGCTGTTTTGTTTTTTTGTTTTTTGTTTAGACCTTTCTAAGTGAGCAGGGAACCCCATTTTTTAATGCAGTTATTCACTGTGAATTCTTTGTAGGGAAACATCAGCGCTGGGGGCAGTGAGCCTTGTGGAGGCCTGGATGGATCAGAGAGGCTGTGCTGTGTTTTTCTGTGAGTGTGGACCAGCCCTTCCTGTGGCTGTGTGGTAGCTTTTCTAGCTCTGTCCCTGGTACCCAGCTTAAGTAACGCACTGTGCTGCGCCCCCTCCTTCAAGGTTTGACTGTATGACTGCAAACCAAGCCACTGCACAGGTTTAGGAGAAGAGAGGATGTAGCAGGTGCATAGCACTTTGTCCCCAACCTGCTTCTCAGACACAGGGACATCCCTACTCTCACCTCCAGAGCTTCTAGAAATCCACAGGGGCTTTGCATATCGAAGGTGGTGGGCATTTCTCTGAACAGAGGGGAGGACCACAGATAAATTTGAGTGGTGATGGTAAATTGGTGGTGAAATTCATAGGGCTTAGTTAGGGCTGTTTCGTCAGATACTAAAAGCTGGTTTGAATGACTGACTTCTCATTAAGGTTTTACTGCTACCCAGCTATGTGGCTTTGGGCAAGTCACTTTCTCTCTTTGTTAATGAGAGAGCTGGAATCCCCAGCTGATCCCTAAGGATTTTCCCAGGTTGTCATTGCTCCAGCTGGGTCAGAGAGTTGACTTTGAAAAGGAAGGGACCTCTGGGTGTTTCTGGCTCCTGGCTGAGTTCCCACAGAGTCTTCACACATCTGGTCAGATGACCTGTGCTCTCTAGGGCCTTTGGGAGCACCAGTTCATACCAATAAGATCCAGCCAGTGCCCTTCTGAGTGGACGCCTCTTTTACGTATAATTTCCTTGGTGGATTGAATTAGTTCCCTATTTGCTTCTGTAACATATTACCGCAAATGTAGTGGCTTACAACAATACAAATTTGTTATCTTACAGTTCTGGAGGTCGGAAGTACAGAGTCCATCTCACTGGGCGGTTTCTTCTGGAGGCCCTCGGGGAAAATTGATTTCCTTACCTTTCTCAGTTTCCGAAGGCTTCCTGCATTTCCTTGGCTCATGGCCCCTTCCTTCGTCAAAGCTAGCATAGCATCTTCTCTGCTCTCTGACCTCTGCTTCTATCCTAACATTCTCTCTCTCCCTCTGACTCTGATCCTCCTGCCCCCATTTTATAGGGACTCTTGTGATTACATCAGGCCCACCCAGATAATCCAGGTTAATCTCTCCATCTCATGCTCCTTAATTTAATCACATCTGCGAAGTCCCCTCTTCCATGTAAGGTGACATTTTACAGATTCTGGGAACCAGGGTGTAGATATCCGGGGCCAGGGGGCGGGGGGGCGGTCATTATTCAACCTATCACAGGGATTATCCATCAATTTCAAAACCTAGACTCAGACGGGGAGAAGAGTGTATTGGAACTCGTGCTTTGGAATGGGGAATTTTAGGCAGCCCCCTAAGCGGGTGACTCTGTAGCTGGTTGCAGTTTAAGCTGTATACAATAGCAAAACCTATTTGTTTTCTGGATATATTTAGATTCTCCTTTTTGAATGGTATCAGGGCCTTTATGTGCAGAAACATATGTGTACTCTCAAAAGAGGTGTCTATATCTCCTCGAAACCACCAGATTCTGATGAGCCACCTCCATTGTCTTCCTTCTTCATACTGTTCATGTCAGTTACTGAGTGTCCACCACATGCAAGACAGCATGCCATGGAAATAACAATCTCTAAGACATGCTCCTTTCCCTTGTGGAACTGCTGTCTAGTGGAGGGAGGGAGGCACATAAGCAGTTGTTTTTAACAAGGCAGGATGTGCTAACAGTGAGAAACCAAGGTAGTGGGGAGACAGGAGGGCGACGTCACTTCTAGTCCCTAGAGTTTCAGATCATACGCCCCACAATGTGATTGCTATAGCACCTGAATGTTAGGTTATCAACTCTTGTGGGCTAAAAATTTCAGGACTTTTAAAAGATGGGGTGATGGGTCTTCCTCTTTGTCTAGGATCCTTGTTTCAAAAGAGGTATCTAGCTCTGATGATTTATGTGAAATCACTTCTACACAAGGTTGATTAAAGTTGGGGGCAGTAAGAGTTTGCTAGGCAAAGCAGAGGTCGAGGAGCAAATGTCTTGTTCATGCTGGATCTGAAAGGGTCACCTTCTGTAAGCAGGGCTTTGCTCGGGCGGACCAGCGCTGCCCGCCATGGCTGACCCACAAACACCCAGTGAGGCAGGCTTTCCTTGTTGGAAAGGCAGCCCTTTCTCACGTGTCCTTGCAGAGGTGAAGGAGAATCTCCAGCGAGAGCTCCCTCCAGCTCAGAACACAGTTTTAGAAAATACAGCTGACTTCTCCTGGAAAAACAAGACCAGCCTCTTCTTACTCTGGTCATGGAAACCAAGTTGGCACCTCATTATCGCCTTGTTAGCAAGGGACAGGCTGCGTGGAGGACAAACCTGGTAGGAGCGGTTGGCTCTGTGTGGGCAGGGTTTTGCGGTAAGCTTAATTGCTTTTCTAAAGCTCAGCTACTTAATACTGCACAAGCAGAAATCTATCATCAGACTCTTGACCATCCTCCTCTTCCTTTCATATTCTCGCCTACATAGACAATTAGCATCTCCCCAACCCTGCTGACGCCACCACCATGGTTTGTGCCTGGGCCCCACTGGGGCCACCAAGGCTCTGCTGCAACCAGCACATCTAAGAGGAGAAAAGGTCTGCGACTACCTTTAATCTAGAATCCCCAGGCCCCCCCCAATATCTTAAAATGCAGCCAGCTTGTTCTGCCTTTGGAGTACAGCAAAGCTGCTGGCTGAGTGAAGGTAGTACATCTATAATGACTTGGAGCCAATTCTTATTTCTCACAGAATGGGTAATAGTAACCCAAAGTCATTTTTCTCTGGCTCTGAAATGTGTTTTGTACTTGCACTTGAACGTGGGTGTGCCTCATGTTCTGAAAGCTCACTTCAAACACAACAGTGAGGCAGCCCACGAGACACACTCAAAGAGGGCTGAGAAGCTGCGTACTTAACCACCTTTCTCTTCTTTTCAAAGCCTGCCTGGCGTTTGAACCCCACATTTCTATTCACTCACTGTGAGTCTTTGCAAGTAGGTCACCTAATTTCTCTGAGCTTTAGGTTCTTGCCCTGCATAATTGGGGTGAAAATTTCCTACCCTATAGGAGTGATGGAGAGAGCAAGTGAGGGAACGCAGGCTAGCTAAGCGCCGGTCACACAGGAGCCTGGCAGTCAGTTGAGACTCCCTCCTGTTCACCTTCTTCCCCATGACCTCCACGCGACCTCCACACCTCCCCCACGCCTCCCACGGTTTTCTTAGATCAATGCAAAATGCCACCCCAAGCAGAAGCTTGCTTTCCTCAAAGCGAGGGTCTCCAATACGGGAGAGATGTGACAGGCCACACATGTCTCCTCTTTTTTTCCTGAACCATGCCCACCCGCCAGCCTCGCTCCTTTGTTTCACCAGCATCAGACTTGTACTGTGCAGAGCCTGTGACAGAGGAAACCTTGTCTGAAATGCCCCAACTTTTCTACGCCACACTTTCTTAGGCGTGTTGGCTCTACAGCCTGGGTTGTCCATGGTCATCCCAATTTCGAATGCACAGCCCCGTTCAAATGTCCTGGGAATTCTAGTTCATCAACTTCCCAAACATATTTCCCGATTACACCCACTCTGCAAAACAGATGTGCGAGACCCAAGAAATATGGCCTTACAAAAGAGCCCTGGCTATGGTAACCACATATCCCAGGCTTTCTGGGAAAGTCTCTTCCCTTATGTGTTCTGATTTTTGATCCAGAAAACACCATAACCAACCAGCAGAGGTCACATGGAAGGCACATGTTCAGACAGACCACCCCTGTGGTAAGATTTCGTACACACCCACCACGGCCTAAGACCTCAAATTCAGATTCTTCTCTTGTGTATTTTTGGTTATTCTTTGTGCTGGTTGGGTTTGGAGTGGACTGAAAGGAGCCTGATTCTTGCTGCTTTTGGATGTGAAAATAAAGACAGGGATGAAAATTTCTGAAGCCTGCTTTTTTTCACTTAACGTTAGAGTATATGGATTTTTTCATGTCACTGACTTTTTTGAGGGGGTGGTAAATAATGACCTTACCAGGTCAAGATAGTGTCTACCCGTGGCAGTGATGGGGTCGGCACCGGTGGGGAGAGTGGATCCCCAAGGAACATTGCATGTGTGGAATGTTTTCTTCCCTAAGCTTGGTGCCAGGTACACTTTTTTGAATGTCTTAAATATTACATAGTGAAGTAGACATTTAAACACCAAAAGTAAATGTCTGCTTAATATTTCATTCTGTAGCTATATCACAATTCACTCAGTTTAAAATTCCCCTCCCTGTTATTGGATATTTGTAACTTTCAACAATGGACTCTTAAATAATGAAGTGCTGCTAAACATCTTTGGGCATCGAGGTTTGTCTGACTTTTTAGCTCATTTTCTTAGGGTGGACTCAAAGAATTGAATTATTGGGTTAAGCGCATGGCTCTAGGGAGTGCGCATTACGTGGCTACCTTTCAACAAGTTATGTGTTTGTTTCTAATGGTTTTAGCCTCTACCTCTTTGATTACCAGTGAGACTGAACATTCTTTAAAGAATAATTTTATGTTGGAGTTTTATTTTTAATTGCTGTGTGTGTGTGACCCAGGTTTTTGCAGACTCATATGTGGGGCTGTGTGGGAGGTTGTGTCGATGTGGGAGGGGGGGCCACAGATGGGCACAGAAAGAGCCCCCGGCCTCCTTGGGGAAAGCCAGCTTTGCATCTCGACCTCTGTCTTCTTGCAGCGCCGCCAAGCTCCTGGACAAGAACCCATTCTCGGTCAGTAACACAACCCCTCTGCTTCCTTCACCTGCCAGTCTCCAACTGGCTCAACTGCAAGCCCAGCTCACCCTCCACCGGCTGAAGTTGGCACAGACAGCTGTCACCAACAACACTGCAGCCGCCACGGTCCTGAACCAAGTCCTCTCCAAAGTGGCCATGTCCCAGCCGCTCTTCAACCAGCTGAGGCATCCGTCTGTGATCGGCGCCCCCCACAGCCATACCGGGGTGCCCCAACATGCTGCAAGTGTGCCCAGTGCCCGTTTCCCCTCTAATACAATTGCCTTCTCGCCGCCCGGCCAGACACGAGGCCCAGGACCCTCTGTGAGCCTTCCCAGCCAGGCCCCCAGTGCCATGGTGATGCATCCCTTCAGCGGTGTCATGCCTCAGACCGCTGCCCAACCTGCAGTCCTCCTGGGCATTGGCAAGACAGGGACAGGTCCCTCTGCAGCAGGATTCTACGACTACGGCAAAGCCACCTCCGGCCAGACATATGGCTCTGAAACAGATGGTCAGCCCATCTTCCTGCCAGCCTCGGCCTCTACCTCGAGCGGTGTGACCTATGAAGGGCACTACAGCCAGTCAGGACAAGATGGCCAAGCCGCCTTTCCCAAAGATTTCTATGGAGCCAACTCCCAAGGGTCGCACGTGGCAGGCGGGTTTTCCGCTGAGCCAGCTGGGGGCCTGAAAGGTGAGGTAGGTCCGCTGCTGCAGGGTCCAAACAGCCAATGGGAGAGCCCCCACGGATTCTCTGGCCAGAGCAAGCCTGATCTCACAGCTGGCCCCAACCTGTGGCCTCCGCCCCCCAGCCAGCCCTATGAACTGTATGACCCTGAAGAGCCCACCCCAGACAGGACCCCTCCTTCCTTCGGGGGTCGGCTGAACAATAGCAAACAGGGTTTCAGCGGCGCGCGGCGGCGGGCCAAGGAGGAGCAGGCAATGCTGCCCGTACGGCCCCTGCAGGCTCATGAGCTCAATGACTTTCACGGGGTGGCCCCGCTCCACCTGCCGCACATCTGTAGCATCTGTGACAAGAAGGTCTTTGATTTAAAGGTGAGTCATCCAAGGCCATCTAGGAGGCTGGGTGGGATCACCACCACCACCCACCTCTTGCTATTTAGGGGCCAGAGAAACGGGTATACTTGGGGATGGGGTAACAAAATGTTGCCATCTCTACCCTTGATTAAAATCATAGGCATTAGAACCAAAAGGAATTTCAGAAATGTACTAGGGCCAGTCCCTTGCTTTAGGGCAAGTAAGAAATTCTTACCCATGTGTGTAGCTGAGAAAGCTGTGGCTGAGTCGGGGCATCAAGTGACTCTGTCCGGGTTACAGAGAAGGGACTCTCCCATCTCCTAGGTGAAGACTTCTCCTCTGCAGTGCACTTAGAAGTTACTGTTCCTGGAACACATATATTGTACTGAGTTTGGAAAGGGAGGCAATATGAGCAGGATTTTGGATCAGAGGCAAGAGAGAAATTCTCAGGTAGGATCCAGATAAATTACCACAGAGGGTCCCAGCGTCCCCATCTGCAAAATGGAGATAGAGCTTCATGACACTTCCCAGTGGCTGCAAAATGCTTCATCCCCAGCAAGCAGAGGTCCATTATAGTATAAATTTCTCCCTCCAAATGTATGGATGATGCAGTGAAATACTTTAAAGCAATTATAACAGCTAACAGATACTAAAACCTTTTCTGGATGTCAGCAGTACCTCTCCAAACCTGATAATATAATTATTCTCACTCTACAGATGTGAAAACTGAGGCCCAGAGAGGTGAAATGATTTGTCTGAGGCCTCAGAGCTAGAAAGAGGCAGAGTGGAGATTTGAATGTGGGTCTGGCCCTCCCAGAGTCTGTGCCTCTTAAGCCACACTGCCTTCTGTCTCTCTCCCCCTCTGCATTTCATAATCATCGCTACGGAGTGGGAATCACGCTGCACTGTCATCCCCCTCTGCCTGGGTCCCCTGGTGCAAGTGCATCTTGTCACCCAGGTGGGACACACCTTTTCACCTCTAGTCTCTGGATGGGGCTGGCTGACATGACAGGTGATGGAGGATGTTGTCTCTCCTAAGCCTTTTCTAAGGCTTTGTAAGTCACTGTGAGTGCACCTGCCAGATTCTCCCCCTCGGGTATGGGAATGGGTGGAGGTGCTGAAGGACTAAGGGTCCAGTGAAAGGGGAAGAGGGAATTAGGTTTGTGAATCTGGGCTCTTGTCCAAGATGGGCATGGACAGTGTAGGTAAAGCCAGTGGCTTGAGGGCTGCGTGGAGAGCAGGAGCCGGGCCTGGGAGCCTGGAAGGGAGAGGAGAGGGGAAGGGGGTGTGTCTGCAGGGTTGGTCCAGTCTCTGGGTGCACTGAGCTCCCTGCTCAGCCGGGGAAGCCTGCACTCATCCCCTGCCTTCCTGTGGACTCAGTTCTGCTTCTGTCTTTTTTCTTTCCTTCTGGCCTAGGACTGGGAGCTGCATGTGAAAGGGAAACTCCATGCTCAGAAATGCCTTGTCTTCTCTGAAAAGTAAGTGCTGTTCAGGAGAACAGGCTCATGCATGTACCCAACAAATATTCTTTGAGCACCTGTTGTATACCATGCTTTGTTGTAAGTGCTGGGGAACAGCAAAGAGCAACACAGGCAAAGTCCCTGTTCTCAAGGAGCTTACACTTAATGGGGGGATCAGATGTAATCAAAATAATCAGTGAATTATATGGAGTCCCAGGTGGTAACTGCTAAGCAGAAAACAGTGGCAGGACAGGGGGAGGGGGAAGAGAGAGAGAGAGAGAGAGAGAGAGAGAGAGAATGAGAATGAATACCTTGCTGAGGATAGACCCCTCAGGAGAGGATGGAAGGAGCTCAGAACCATCTGGGGGACATGCATTCTCGGCAGAGGATACAGCAGGTTCCAAGGCCCTGGCGTGGCCTCGGATGCTCCGGCAGCATCAGTGTGACCCGAGCAGCATGCCGGGTAAGAAGCCAGGGAAGTGCCAGAGCCCAGATCCTGAGCCCCCGGGCCTGTTGTAAGGACTTTGCTTTTGCTTTGAGTGTGACTGGAGTGCTGGTGGACTGAGCAAAGGAGTGACGTATGTGCTCCGGCTCTGCTTAACAGGCCTCTGGCTGCCACACTGAGAATAGATAGTAGGGGGCAAGGGCAGATGCCTGAAGACCAATGAAGAAGGGGCTACAGATTTCCGCAGAGAAGAGGATGCCTGGCCCAGAGATATACAACAGGGGATGGGGTTAAATGTTTTGAAATGAGAACATTCAAAAGGCCTCCCTTTCCTACCTGCAATATCACAAAAAATGGAAGTAATCCATATGTCCCTACCAAAGGCATAGGCCAACAAAATGTGGTATGTACTTACAGGGGAGTATTATTCAGCATTAAAAAGGAAAGCATTTCTGCCACCGGCTTCAGCACGGGTGAAGCTGGAGGATATTATGCTCAGTGAAATAAACCAGACACTGAAGGGCAAAAGCTGTATGATTTCACTTACAGGAAGTCCCCAGAGTAGTCAGATTCGCAGAGACAGAAAGCAGAATGGTGGTTGCCGGGGCTGGGGGAAGGGGACGTGGGGTTTAATGGGCATGAGTCTCAGTTGTGCAAGATGAAAGAGTCGGGGGGGTGGGTGGAGGTGCCGGTTGCAGAGCAGAGTGAGTACGCTCAGTGCCACTCAGCTGCACGCTGAAAAATGCTCCAGCGGGCACGTTTTATGTTATGTGTGTTTTAACACAATGATTTTGAAAAGATCTCTGCCCCATCCTTTTTTTTTTTTACTGTGGTAAAATTCATGTAAAGTATACGATTCAGTGGTAGTTGGCACATTTCACAAGGTCGTACAAATATTGCCACTGTGTAGTTCCAGAACATTCTCATTGCCCTCATACCCATGAAGCAGTCACTCATCATGCCTCTTCTCCCCTAAGCCCTGACATCCACTGATCTGCTTTCTATCTCTGCAGATTTGCTACTTCTGTACATTTCATATAAATGGAATTATTAACTATGTGATATTTTGTGACTGGCTTTTTTCACTTAGCACAGTATTTTCAGGTTCATCCACATTGCAGCATATACCACTTTTTATGGCTGAATATGGCATAATATTCATTGTATTCATACATGTGTGTATATATCACATTTTATTTATCCATAAATAAAGTTTTTGATCTGTATTTGGAGCCCTTCCACTGTTTGGCTGTTGTGAAGGGTGCTGCTATGAACATTCATGTACGAGTTTTTGTTTGAACATCTATTTTAAATTATTTTGAGTCTATTCCTAGGAGTAGAATTTCTGGGTCATATGGTAGTTTGTTATTTAACTTACTGAGTAACAGGTCCCCCCTTTTCACCCCCCTCCAGCGCTGGTGTCCGGTGTATACTCGGTTCTGCAGAGGGCGCTCTGTGCGCCTCTCCTGGCAGCCCAGCCGTTTATAACCCTGCCGGGAACGAAGGTGAGTAAGGGCCTACGGGTCAGCGGCTGGAGTCAGATCAGCTTCTCTCATCTTTCACAACCAGACTTCCCTTCTGTACCCTTCTTACGCATCTATGAGGCAAACAGATCCCAGGACTCTGAAATGCATTGGACCTGCTGCCTGGGCTCTTGGACGTTTTCTGACGTAGTTTAGACATAAAGCTTTGCTGGTTATTAACATTTCCAGAGGTATACGGGGAAGGACCCCCCAAAAACCCCAGAATTTAGTTCTAAAAAATTGTGTATTCTTACATGTTTAAACTTCAGTCGCCTTCAAAGCATTCTCCATTTCATGCAATACACCTGCTCAAAACAGTTTTTGAACTAGTGGATTTTGAAGTCATTTAGTGCTGCTGCTGTTTTTTGTTTCACCTCTTCCACTTTGGCAAAATATTTCCATTTAGGACTTTTTTCATCTGGGGAAAAGGGGAAAAAAGTGGCTCAGGGCTAGATCAGATGGATAAGGAGGGTGGGGCATGGGGGTCTGCTGTTTTTTGGTCAAAAACTGCTGAACACTCAGTGTAGTATGGGCAGGTGTGCTTGTAAATCACCCATCATGAAACAGGCAAGTGCGTTGAAAGAGTCTTCAAAGAAAATTCACTGAATCTGAAGAACACAGTCTCTCACAACAAGGCCAGTATCTAGGAACTGGTATAGGTAGAATCCTAGAACATTCATCTAGCAGAGGAAGCCTGTACTACAAGGGGCCCACCCTCCAGAAGATAATTCCAGGTTCTTATGGGTTCCCCTCATAATCATGACAATTACTAATCCGTACGTTAAGAGGGAACGTTCATTCTTCCCTTCCCACTTATACCCTAAGAGTAACCTCCACAAGTAAAGTAAGTAACTAGGTTTTCACCCTGTGTCGTGTGATTTATCATTTAGATTATGCCTCAAATCTCGGAACATCATATGCAGCCATTCCAGCAAGGTCATTTACTCAGTCAAATCCTACCTTTCCTTCGGCTTCCCCGGGGACAAATGTAAGTACAGAAGCATTTTCTTCATGTCATTGTCAGCAGCAAGGCGTTCGTGTCACCTGCTCTGGGTGGTGCGTGCAGAGGAGCTGGGAAGAAGCTGGTGTCGCTGTGGCTCTGTGCAGCGCAGGAAAACGTGTCCCTGGACTGAGGTCAGGGCTTGCCTAACCCAGTCCAGCGAGTTTTGAAACACACAGATAAAGTGCTGACATACATTTCTAAAACTGAAGGCATTCATAGACTTTCCGGCAGTCAGTGGTGGTTTAGAAAAAAATAAGTTTGAGTTTGTGCGTGTGTGTGTTTTTAAGATGTGGATATTTTATTGACGTGGACCATTTCCTCTAAGCAGGTAATTCCAAGTGTTGAAATTGTGCCTGAAAGTAATGACCTTGCACTAGTGGTATTTGATGGCCCCTTGGGGAAATGGCTGCTTCTGTATAATACTTTGTTTTTAGTTGTGTTTGCAGCCCTCTGTCTCTCTACAACATGCTCTTTAGTCCCCCAAAGCTCTAATGTTCATCCCTTTTTTCCTCAGTTTCACCACAGCAGGTAGCCGTGCCCCCCGCCCCCCGAAACTATCTGACTTTCCGTTCCCTGAGAACATGTGGAAAGGGGTGGGAGACACAGAACTGACGGTAAACAGAATGCGTTTGCTAGAGGGCGTGTGTCTGTGTGTTTTCCCCGTGCCTGCATTTTTTTTTCAATTCGGGTTACGAGCAGCTGCAGCCTCTTTCTCTCATCTCAGGCAGCGAGTGAGCACAAGCTCATGACAGCGGGCCTCCACGTGCTGTCCCCTCCATGTGGTGCCCCCTCCACGTGCCTCGCCAGGCGTTCCTGCAAAACTTGCAGAGGGCGAGCTGAGCAGTGTAGGTTTTAGGCCCTGGGGGATGAATGAGGAGGGAGGTGAGGAGGTTCATGGCAGGAAGCGAGGCCTGCCTGGGCGAGATTCCTATTTGTCTGTTTGTGACATTTATCGGGAGAAGAGTTTCAAGAGAGAGCCCCTGGCTGCGAGCCCAGGTTTTTGGAGAAGGAGAAATTTGTGGTTTGCCTCTCTGCACTCTGCGTGCTCAGGGCCCCACCTGGTCAGTGGCAACTTTGGGTCAGTCCCAGGAGGGCACAATGGCTGGGTGCAGTGAGCCCTGTCATTTGTCTTTGATTACATGATCTTGTGTTCCAATGAGGGTGCTGGCAGCTGTTTCCCCATACTGTGGGCCATGGAGGCATCTCGGTGCCCGCAACCTGCTCCAAAACCCCAGCACTGAGGGGAAGGGGACTGTGACCCAGGAGAGGGAGGTCGGATTGGGAGGCAGGTGGGTCAGAGGCCTGGAGACAGGAAAGAGCTGGTGTCAGCAGAGCCTCTTGTAAAAGGGAGGGGGTGAGGAGAAGCAAGGGCAGGACAGCTCATCATGTGTCTGGTGCCTCAGCCCGTCCTCCAAGACGGACCAGTGAACCAGAGGCCCTTTCCTGTGGCTGTGGAGCCAGGAGCCCAAGTTCAGGCTCTAGTCCTGGAGCCTACCAGCTGTGTGGCCTCGGGCAAACCTCTCTACTTTCCTGAGGCTCCATTTCCTTAAACAGGGACAATACTCCCTTAATGATGACTTTTGAAGGTAAAATAAGGGCTGGTGTTCACCTGACTTGTGTAATTGATTGTTTTGACCACGCCTCAGATCTCAGAACATAGTTTGTGGCCCTGAGCACAGTCTCCTGTGATCAGAGCTGGAAGTGGGAGCAAGGCTCAGGGTAGACCAGAGTTGTCCTGCCCTCGTGAGTCTTAAATGAGACCGCGTATGTGACAATGACTTGTGAACTGTGCAGTGAGTAAGAAGTAACAGTGGCTAGTATTGAGTCAGGCATCCTTTTAACCTGCCATGGGGAAACCTGTCCTAAGACTGGCTCTGTCTGCTAGCTGTGTGACTTCGGGCAAATCTGTGTTCCTTGTGCTCCAATCTGTCCAGGAATCTCCGTCGCCGTATCTGCCCCCCTGAGAGATGTTAGGAAGCTCCCTTTCCTTACGTGCAGGGCAGGCAGGAGCAACCTGCTCACCCGTGATAATTCGTGAGGACAGTTTCCTCCAGATGCCTAGAGACAGGGAGGTCATCTGGCTTGAGCCTGAGAAGAAGCAACGCACAAGAAACGTTTTGCTTTCTGCACTGGAGGCCAGCAGGAAGGACATGGAGAGCCACTGACACTGCGGGGTGATGATCATTGCAATAGCAGACCTTCTTCATGGGGTGCTTAATGCGTTCGTAGCATTTTTGATGGATTAACTCATGTAGTCCTCTAGGCAACTCTGTGAGGTGGGGAAACCGAGGTGTAGAGATACCAGGCGCCTTGCCTCAGGTCATGCAGCTGGGAAATGGAGGCCTCGGGACTTGAACCCAGGCAGCCTGGCTCAAGACACCTCACTTTTAACCATTAAGCCCTGCTGTGCCTCTCTGAAAGTTTCTGAGTTCTCTTCCTTGCTGTGGTTATTTCTTCAGCAAGCTCCCTCCGCTCCCCACAAGCTGCTTAGCGGGATCTGAGGCTGCCTTTCAGGGTGCAGGTCCTGCCCAGGCCTTGCCAGCCATCAGCCGTGGAGCATAAGCAGAGACCTGTCAGACTCAGCGCCTGAATTCTTTGCCACCTTGACAGCGTCTCCCAGGATGAACTCAGATGTTTAAAGGCATTTTCCACAGACCCAGTGGAGGGAGAGAGGCATTATTTGACTGGTTTTATCTTTATACGGTCTGTGAAGTCTTGTTGGTCACATGAGCCTTTCCCAAGGACATCTGCAGTACAAGGACCAAGTGTGCCCAGCCATGTGTTGTCAGTGGCTGGATAGCCACATCCTTCTGCGGGCTTCGGTGCTGTTGTTTGCCATTTCTGGCAAATGGAGTGGCACGCAGGTGTGCCTCTCTTTAGGGAGACCTGAAATAGAAAAATGTTGACATTTGAAGATGGTCTGAGAAATGAAGGACCAATGAATTGGCTACTGAAAGATAATTTACAAGTAAGTAGCAGGGGCATCTCTGAGAGAAATTACTGATTTTTTTTTTTTTTTTGCTTATAAATATTGACCTCCAAAGATAAGCAGATACACCAGGGGCAATTACTCTGCTAGCAAAGGACACTTTGCCCAGTGAGCTCCTTGTGCATACTCATTTCTGCTTTTTTTTCCCCTGCTTACAAAAGTTATGCTTTTTGTGAAAATTCAAATGGAAAAGACACATTTAATGAGCAATTGAAATTCCTCCATTATCCCCCTGCAGCCCCCATGAGAACCATGAAAGCTTTCTTGGGCGTTCCTCCAGAAGTGTTTCCCTGGCCTGTGCCAGAGCTTTTTCTGTCTGATTCCACTTACGTACATCTTTTCAGAAACACATTTTGTTGAAGACCAGCCAGGACTTGGCTGTGGTAGAATCACTATTGTTTGTGCAGCAAAGAGTGGTTCCTGCTCCTAAAGCTCCCCATTTTCAAGCAGAACACAGTGACATGGGCCCTGGGAATGAGCCCTCAGAAGGTCTCTGAAGTGCCACACAATGTAAAAACGATCGCGAATCCCCTCAACCACCTCCGCCAAGCCCAGGCTTGGCTGCTAAATTTGCACTCGTCTCAACTCTGAGAGAGTGCCGGCCTTTTGTGTCCATGTATATTGTTGACAGAGATGGGGGGGGCAGGTTGTGTCTGTCCCCAGCCCCCCCCCCGCCTCCCACTCCAGGGTCCCAGGAGAGTGTGTTGACTTTTACTGAAGCTCCTGCCACTTGACAGAGCAGTGGCACTTTGTCTTTGGCTGACGGTCGACATAAATAGAGTAATCGGGTTTCTTGAGCGAGCCTTCAGGGCCTTCTCAGGCTGTAAATAGTTTTCTTGCACCTGTCCAAGATGGACTTGGCCTGCTAGCTGTCCCCATAAAACCGCCTGGAAGTTTTCACAGCCACCTTGGGGATAATTTCATGCCAGCGCCACAGATGGCCCTCCCAGGCTTGGGATGATACGCATCGTTTTTATGGTTTCTTTCTCACCAGGACCCCACGCACTGGAAAACTTGTGTAAATAAGGAATCCAGGCAAAGGGAAGCATAAATGTTTGTGGAAGGCCAGAGGTTTAAGTCATAGGTGGCTGTTTTCTAGAACGTCTCTCTGTCCTCTCTGGCCTTCTGGGTCCATGGGTCAGAGCACTGTGGTCTCCTGACTTCCAGAGAACATGAAGAGTCGCAACTGACTGGACAAATGATACCCACCCCTCCCACCAGTCCCGCTCTGTCATTGCTCCTGTTCCACCGTCTCCCGCCCCGCCCCGGGGGCCCCCTTGTGCATTTTCAAAGAACGCAGAGAGCCAGGAAACAGGAGACCTGGGTGGGCTTTGTTTTCCAGATTTTTTTCCTGTTCTTCTTACAAATCTTAATTATATTTTCATGTTGTAAAAGAAGTACAAACATAGTACATTCAAATAGAAACAGAAATGTAAAAATAGGAAATCCAACCCTGTAGATAAAACTGAAGGTAGATGTCTTTTATTCTAATTATGTATTTCTAGCTGGCGGACAGGTGCATGTGTAATTACTAAAACTATATGTTTTTGCAAAAATTAGGTAGTACCATATAGTCTGTAGCACAACTTGGGGTTTTTTCCCACTTAACTAAAGCTCACAGTACATATTTAATTGATTTCCAGGAATCTTTGTGCATCTGAACCTAAGACCTTATCTTATGTATATCATTACCTATTATATGTATTTACCATAGTTTATCAAGTCCATGATTGATTGGTTTTTTCACTGAGACCCGAGTCATAATCACAAACCTGTAAGTACTTCACTGCCCATGGATCAAGCTCCTTAACTTCTTCCAGACATCATTGTCACATATACAATGATGAGTGTGGACCCGATGATCGCCACTTTTAAGATTCTGTGACTCTAAGGTTTACATGTTGAACTACCCCAAGACTCGTAGGCAAGTCTGGCACCAATCAAAGTAGGTTTTCTCTAAGTCAAAGCTAATATGTTTTATAAAATATTTGAAAGT